ACATTTGTGATTTCCAAATATGATCTTTCTCAATGGCTCTGCCTTCCCTAGTTCTAGCATAAAAATTTTCCAAGGTGCCCATACAGTTTTCTAGGGTTATTTTTTACCCCAGGTTCTTCTGTTGGCTAGATTAACATGGAAAGCTGTGTAGAAGGGAGAGGGAAAATATCTGGGCTGCCAGCAGACACATTCCAAATTCCTACTGGGAATGAGATTATTCCCATAGATGGAAGTGCTACTCACATGACAAAAAATAAAAGCATAACAAGCCCTTTATATAGGCTGTGCGTAACAGCCTATATAAAGGGCTTATTATGCTTTTATCCCACAGCAGAGAGTTTAATCTTTCCCAAATTTAATATCAGATTAACATTTCTCACAGAAATTTGGTCTGCACAGCACAAACACAAATGTGTCCGAAGACTCAGAGTCCAGACCTCACATGATCCTGAACAGTCCCAAAAAGCACTTCACAGCAAATCCAACTGGGAGACCGTGGCAAAAACCTCAGCCTTGATAGTCAGACACGGCCATGCTGAGTAAGCTCTATGGCCTGATGCTGTATCCGTCACAGGGCTTTATGCCACCTCTGCTCCCTTACTGACTTGTAGGGGACAGGACCACACTGGAAGGATTTCCCCTCAATGCTTCTCATTCTTGGTAGACCATCAAATAGCTTCTATGTAAACCTTATGAAACCTTGTGTCTTTTCTCTTCCTTGACACTGGGATTTCTGCTCTTCCAGGGAAAACTCAACTTTTGCCTAGGAAGCAGCCAACTTAGTCAAGGAACTAAATTTCTTCAATTCCAATTTTTCAGTTGCTCATGTGGCCAGACTGACACTGTACAAACATTGCAGTTCTGACAGGCAGCCAAATCAAAGCGTGGCTGGGCAGTGCAGGCAGAGCAACAAGTCCTCTTTCCAGTGAAGCAAATAGGAAGAGGATTTCAGCTCATGATTACTACTAGAAGTTGAAATAAGATTTATCTCCTCTGGTGCCAAAATCAGTCTAGAAGGTAGGACTCTCAGCTGCAAATTAGGAAGAGATGGGAGTGAGAGAGGGGAACTGTTCACAACAAAAGAACCCTAGACAACAGCATACTTACCTGATGACAAATAACATTGTGACAAACTCCTTGAAAATTCTAAAATTAAAATATCAATCCCAGGAAGCACTAAATACCTAAGTGTAAAAATATTCCTGAATAATTAATCTGAGATGTTACTATCAACTCAGGCCAAACAGAACACATTTACCTTTGTTTGACTCAATTACAATCCTGTTCTTCCACACAGACAACAGCACAAGCAGCTACTTGACTCCAGGCGCATCACTTGGAGACAGAGCAGGACACATAAGCTCTCTCTCATCTCACCAGTGCAACCACTCTGTGCTGGGACACTCACAGCTGTCAGGGAAACACACCAGCTTTCTCTCACCCCAAGTCTTCTAATCTCTCATTCCCAACATTATGCCTTCCATGTTGTCCAAGAAAGTATTCTCTTGTGTTTCCATCAAAGCCTAATGAGTTCTCCTAGTTGCTGCTCTCATCATCACAGATTTCTCACTCCCACGTTAATTAGTCCAGAAAGGAAATAAGACTTACTAAGTGAATTTCAAAGTTATCACAGAATCACAGAACATTCTGAGTTGCAGGAAGCACCACACAAGGATCATCAAATCCAAGTCTCACGTGAACGGCCCATATGGGTATCGAGCCCTCCACCTTGGCTCCACTATCACCGTGCTCTAACTAACTGAGCCATGTTACCCCAGGCTGTGACACGATAAAGGACACCAGAGAATGCCAATATTTATTATCCCTAGATAGGATCAGTCAGCTGAAATAACCAGTTGCTTAACAAAAATCAAATTTAATGTATGCAACGGTTGTGAGAGTCTGCTTTCCTTTTACTCCATGATGAGACATTGACCATGTTACTCAGGCCCCCGGTTGCACATTTTCTTTTTCCGTACATTTTGATGGAATAATCATGCAGCCCAGCAAGGGAGGTGAACACGTCAGTGGGCTCCTCATGAGCTCCAGGCAGTGTGTGCCTAGGATCTGGGCTCTCTGGAGCTCCTGCAGACAGACAGGAGCAGGGACGTTCTCCCCAGGTCTGTATACTGGTGTCCATGTTGTCTTTCCTTGAGGGGCTGCCTCCTGGTTTGGAAACAAGTACAAGCTTTCACAGGAGCTATTTTCACTTTGTGGTTACTGTGAACCAGGAAGATGAAAACACCTTCCAGTGATGGAGAGACTGTTGTGAACACCTGAGTACCAGAGAGGGAAAGGGAAAATCAGATGGAGAGGGTATCCACATGAGCAAGAAAATAGCATGCTTCAGGCCAAGTCCTTTGCAAAGAAAAAGAATGATCAGGAAGGAACTTGTCTGGGACCAAGAGGAACAATAAATCAGGGAAGCCTAAAGAGCAAAGGGCAAAATCAGGAGGAAGTTGAAATCAAGATCACTTTAGGAGTGGATAAAATATAAATCATTTTCCCACTGTGTTTCCTTATCAAATTACATTAACAAACTCTTACAAAAACAGGCAACTTGTCTGATCCATACTTCATCAGCATACTTCATCAACCTGCTTAACCTCTCTTTTAAGTGAGAAGTGGGAAACTTTGTTTTGTCAACCACTACACCCAGATACACTGTTTTCCAGAAGTCATTTATCAGACTGCAATTAGTAAGGAAATATGTCTCCTCCTTTTCCTCTGCAGAAACCCAGATTAGTAAGGTTGGGCCTGCAATCCTGTTCTTTATTTTCCAGTTCTGTCTGTCCACTTCCTTCTCGCAAGGCAAAGTGACTCAAAGCACCAATTTCACTTTATTACCACCTCCCGGGATGCTCACTGAATATGGTCATCAAAAAACAATCAAAGTGCTTTCAACTTGAAGCTGCAAGACTTTTAAGCCTTTCTGGGTGAAAAAATACTGGTCATCAACATGCAAGTTCTTGTGCAGTGCGGATTCTGCCACTAAGTTCAATCCATCTTAAGGAAAAAAATCCAGACAAACCCCCACCATACATTCTCTTAGCTTCTAGCTTAACTTCTTTCCCTGACATCTTGTTATGCAACGGACTTTGAGTGCAGCTTTCACCATGCTTTCAAAGCAAACAGCATTTTAGTTAGCAGAGCAGCAGCTGGGAGACACAGAAGTGAAGCAGGCAGGCGCATGGCGTGAAATGATATGGAAAAGTCACCTAGAAGCATCCCAAGTCTACTTCTCAGACTTGGAAACTTGAAACAATGTGCAGAGGCAAAATTCATGGGTTGGTGAAGGATAAGGAAAAGATAAAGGATAAAAACACAAGCATGCATTCACTAGTTCAGAGGCAGCTGAAGCAGCTGCCTGACCTTGGGCTGGGTGGTCAGTGTGGCAAGGCAACAGGAAAACACTCAAAACATCCAAGGCAAAAAAGAAGTCATTCTCACAGTGTGATCAGAAGTGATTTTTTTTTTTCAAATTCTATCTTTTATAGGAACCAAGCTCTGCATATTGGAGGTTTGAAGACCCTCTCTGCATCCCTGTTACCTCTCACAGACACTTTACCTTCCTGTTCCTTATGTCAGCACAATTCAGAGTAATGACATCCTTGAGCACGTCAGGGATAAAATAACACAGACAGGAGACATCTGTAGGAACTAAACAATACACTGTGACTTGAAAACAAAAGCAAACATTTTGACAGGTTCTAAGGACCAGGCTGTTAGCCTAAAAAAGCAACCTTTTATCAATTTTACAGTGACTTTGAGGTTTCCCTGAGGAAACATGCTGTTTTGCGTATGTTTACATTTTGTGAAGTTAAGGGTGGCCAATCTACTCTTTCTAAGGCCACTTAACTGTGACACCGTACCTCAGCCCCAGCCTGAACCACCGCAGCCCAAACTGTTTGCTTGCTGCCCTGCTCTGTCAGCACAGCCCACCCTGCAGCTGGGGGCTTAAGGAGCAGTTGAGCCAGCTGTGCCAGGAGCTCCTGGGCCAGGCAAACAGCCCTCCTGCTCCTGCGCATGGAAAATGCTGCTCCTCTTCCTGTGGAAACCACAGCGTGCCCTGTACTGTGCTCAGGGCAGCAGCACTGCCGGCTCACTGCTTTCTGATCTGAGAGTGTCAGATTCTTAGAATCACAGAAGAATTTGGGTTGGAAGGGAGCTTTGAAGGCCATCCAGTCCAACCCCACCTGCAACGAGCAGGGACATCTTCCACTAGACCAGGATGCTCAGACCCCATCCAGCCTGACCTTGAATATTTCCAGGGATAGGGCATGCACCATCTCTCTTGGCAACTTGCTCCAGTGTTTTACCATTCTCATTATAAAATACTTCCTTATACATAATCTAAATTGACCCTCTTTTAGTTTAAAACTGTTATGCCTTGTTCTATAGCAATAAATTTCCAGGAGAAGGAACTACAATCTCCCATTGCTCAGGGTGAGTGAGGTATTGCAGCAACAAGACTTGCACCTTTGGCCAGCATCCAGGAGAAAGCTCCTCAGAAGCCACCACCAGCAACCATTTGTAACCTTGAGAAAATAAAAAATTCATGTTGCAATCTCTGGAAAACCTCTGGAAATCACCACCTATTGTATTTCACCAACAAATATAGCTCTGACAAGCACATCTAGGACACAGTCCCATGACATTCAGCTCCTCTAGGGATACAGTAGTATTGACACATCCTTTTAACTACACTCAAGTTTCTCATTCACACATTCACCACATCTTTTAAGAAGAAAAGTGCAAGTTGATGTCATGACAAACAAAAGTTATTGTGGCTTCACAATTGATCTCAAAAGGCCACATGTACTAAAGAGTACAGTGAGTCACTACTGCTTTTCCTAAAGTAATTAGTCATACACTTAGAGCTCATGAATAACAGCTTCTCTCTTTGATTTATAAAATCTCACAAGCACTGTGCTACAAATGAAAGAAATGATGCGGCCTTATGTTCAATTTTCTTTATTTGGCTTCTTTTTGTTCAAGGAAATACAGAAAACAAGACAGACAATATATCAATAGAACACATAACTTTAGATAAAAAATAATTAAGCAACACACGTGACACAGACAATAATTGTAAAAATACAGAATACACTGTTTTAATTGACTGAAGTTATTTTCAAATCTGAACTAAACTTCAGCTGCTGTGGTCAAAAATACTTCTGTAAATTTATCTCAAAAGTTTTGTTCAAAACCTTCTTTTAAAAAGAAAAATTAGCCCAAAACACCCTAAAAGCCCCATGAACTCCCATTTTCTGTTCAGGAAGGAAGCAAAATATAAATCAAAACTACTACAGCTTTCAATGACACATTTCTGGTATCTCAAACAAGTAGACAAAAAAAAAAAAAAAGGACCAGTTGGTGTTTTGGTTGGGTCAGATTTTTTTTTTCTTTAAATTAGAAAAAGTGAAAGGTACAAATAAATAATTCATATTGCATCTACAATAGTAGAGCAAACACGACCTCTCACATCCTCAGTAACTCAAGCAGACAGACACACTGAAGTTTTTACCAGTCTCTGTACAGGCAACAGCTCTAGAACCAGCAAAATACCTGCTCTGAGCACTGAGTCCTAAGTTTTAAATCTCCATTGTTGATTTTTCAGCTTGACAGTTGGTACCCTTAGTAAACATATGACATAAAAAGCACAGTCCAAAATTCTATGCACTCTGGTATGAAGGAGTATTTCAGATGCATGAACAAATGCTCATCAAAGCCAAAAGGAAAGACAATACTGTCAGTGATCCGGATACAATGACAAACATTCAAACAGAAACAAGACTGAGAAACACCTTAAACTCTAGCACTCATCAGCTGAACAAAAAATCACCCGAGGATCCCCTGCAGTCCTCTCATCTGTCTGTCCTGTCAGTAAAAATGGGCCACTGAGAAGGCACATCCAGGGGCAGACTTGCACTCAGCAATCTTTGCCCAGTGGGGCAGGCGCAGAGCCCCGTGAAGGTGTTCAGATGCTGCCATGGTTTATCCCCAGCCAGCAACTAAGCACCACTCAGCTGCCTGCACAGCCACCAGGAAGGAAGGGGACAGCCAGAAGGACAGCCTCATGAAGGGGCTGCCAGAACCCGGGCAGCTTACAGCTCCGGCACCACGCCAGGAGTGGGGAACTGTCTCGGTATGGGGATTCAACAGAGCAGAACCTTCAGAGCCACTTGCTCTAAGGTGCCAGACACAAGCCAGGACAGGGACCACGCAGAGGAGAAAGGAGGAGGCTCTCTGTCCTGAGCTTCCACAAGGAACGTTTAGCGCAAAGGAGCAGGACAGAAATCCTCCAACAGGGTTGTGCAAGCAGTTCTGTTCAGATACAAGTCAGGGGGTGGACACTAACAGCTAACAATAGGGAATTCTCAGGGCAGGAGTGACGGGATTACATCCAGCGTCTGGGACCAGTTGGGGCAGGAGGGTGGAGAGGATGGGTCACATGGGCCAATGGCGCTTCCAGGAGTAGCGGAATTTCAAAGGGGTGTTGCAGACAGGGATGGGATGGGCCCAAGGTTTAAGTGGCAGAAAAGCTTTGGGAATCAAGGGCTGGGTTGGCTTGACGGGCAGGGAAAGAGCTGGAACAAGGGGCAGGCAATGGTATAAGGGACAGCTTTGAGGGAGGGTAAAACCCAGGGGTAAACCAACTCAGGGAGAACATGGGGGTACAACAGAACACAAGGCATCAATAAAATAAATTCAAACCACAACGGCCTCATACTAATGTCTGTTAAGAAAATTAACTCTGTCCCAACCAAAACAAGCACAAGGCAGAAGGCATCTGGAGCCTTCCACCCCTCACAAAGATGAGGAGCTGCAGGGCAATGCCCAGGAGTGCTCCGCGCTCCTGAGCAGCCTGCTGCTGCCCAGCCATAGGGGGCCAAGCACCTGGAACTTGGAGCCTGGGAATGGCCGGATTGGCAGGCTTGGGCTGGCAGTGATGAGCAGCTTGGGACGGTGGGAGAGAAGCTCCAATCCAGCCTGGGACAGGAGCAGAATTAGGTCCCAGCTCCTAAGAATAGTGCAGTGTCTTTATCTGCTACCAGCAGCATGACAAATCAGTAAGCTCAGTCTCTGTAAGACTGCCAGCTGATATCATTGCAGCCACAGTGGTGACACGGGACAGTGAGCTCAGTGTGTGACATCCCACCCAATGAGGTCCAGCCATGGAATAATGGCTTTTGGCCAACTAAGCAATTTATCTGTGTTTAAAAATGGATGAAGACAGGGAAGACTACCTGGAACAGTGCATAAGATGAGCACAAAAACTATTGACAAAATCCACGCCTTTTGACAGCTGAGCAAAGAGTAGGATAGGGACAATGCTTCCACTACTGGTCTTTGTAACCACCTTCTCCTCACTTATATATTTAGCCTCATCAAACACATCCCAAAAAACCCAGAAAACACAGAAGAAAACACTCTAGGATTAGAAAAAAGTCAAATAAAGTAAATTACTTATATATTATACAAATTACTTACAATTCTTCTTTCCAAATTGTGGCTGCTACTGCCTTTATTTAGTCACCTGCTTGGAGACCTATTGCTCTTCCCCATAATTTTGCCAAATGCTGTGTGGTTCGAGTCCTGTGATTTTGAGTCCAGCAGATCTTTCCAGAGAAAAAGGAGCCATAACAACTAAGATGAGAGAAGAAAAACCATGACAGGAAGGGGGTGATGAACTCAAGAGTTGCTGCAAGTGAAATTGCAGACAGATGTTGGCAAAAATTAAATCCCTCCCTACTGCAAGAGCAATTAGGCACTGGAAGAGAATCCCCAGAGAGTCTGCAGAGCTTCTACCCATCGACATTTTCAAAACTCAGCTGGAAGAAGACAAATACATTTTGGCCAGCAGCAGCACCAAGAGAGAGTGGCATGGGTAAAGAAGGTTTTGCCTGACAAAATCTCCTGCTCTGCAGAACAGCAGACCAAGTGGTCCCTCCAGTCCTACATTTTAAGATTAAGGGCCTAGACCAGATAGCAAATGTTGTGTTAGTCATTTCAGTGATGAACTCAGCTTCCAGACAGGGCAGTGTATATGATGTCTTCTCCTTTTTTTGCTGCTTCTTTCCAGCCAGTCAAGTCACTATGTGCAATGCTGACTTCAGGATGCTAGCTTTTAATGATCTGGTAGATGGATGGAAATTCTCAGGGATCCTAGGAAACACAAAAACAACCCCAGGAAAGGATGAGTCATGGCCATTCTGTTGCTGTCTCAGGTTTTGCTTAGTGCATTTGCTGTTGGGACAGGAGGAAGAGAAATGCACAGCGGGGAAAGCGGGGAGCAACCCACCCTTTGGTAAACAACTTCCCTGCTTTTTTAATTCTGGAAATCACACATTCTGCAGAATTCAGAATGTGACATAAGGAATATACAAAACCCTGACATTATTTGTAAACTGTGAAAAGTAAACCAACTTTCCTCACTAGTAATAATACACCAATTATTAATTAACTCACATATATTGAGTATTTAAGTAATTTGATATTTCAGAATATCTTTTATATGTTTGAGATTCAGTCTACAACTCTACCTTTACATGGTTTTGAAGACAATAATAAAATATATGGCATCTTTACTTTTCATGTAGAGGAGCATGAAAGAGGTTCCTTATCTAATAACCCTTCATTCAGACAAAGTATTTTGTAAAGTACTTTGGAATTGAGTTTATAAGTAGTTCTTATCAAGTAAGTGAATGAAAAATAATGAGGCAACTATTCACATATTACAGGAATGCTATTCTCCCTTTCAGCTGCCAGCCATTTTATTTTCTTGTTATATACAAAGCCCTGTTGTTGGAATGAAAAAGGAGAAGGAAGGACCAGAAAATTACTTCGTAATGCAACATGAGCACAAATATGATGCACGGGATAGGAACTGTACTAGTCACATATACTAAAAGCCTCCCTGTTTGCAAAGAACGGGCTTTGTGTTCTAGTCACATAGCCTGTGCATCTGAATGCACAGGACAAACTCCAAGATATTTCCTACACCACTACCTTCATCCTGTCAATAGCACAACAGTATTGATTTAATCCTTCCAGACAAAAAACCCCAGCCATGGCCCAGGAGACCAGAATTCACCCATGTGGCCTCCCTCTCCTTCCTCCTCCTGCCACTCCCCTTTCCTGGCTCTTCTAAAGGAAGGCAGGATAAGGAGCATGCTTTTCCCAGAAAAACATGACAGGGAAAACAAACAAAACACCAGCCATCTCTGTCCTTCACAAAGAAAACAGACGGCACCAAAGCATGGAAAGTTTGCAAAGTGTGCCCGTCCTCCCTCTATATATGATACAGACCAGAGGGTACTGCCAGGCACATTTCTGTGAACAGAAAATTAGGTGTAATCACCAGGTAACAGAAGCTGTCTTAAAACAGTGTGTGATTAAATCCAGAAAACATCTTGAGTTGCAAAATATTTATGCTTGCATGAAACCTGATGGACAGCCTGACAGCAGAATTACCCTTTCATTGACATTTTTGTCATGAGGGTTGTTTGGTTTTTTAATTCCTCCCCTCAGTAGCTCTGTTTAGGTCTGCTTGTGTATACTGTTTTTACACTGTGGCATTTCTGGGTTTTGGGATTTTTGTTTGTTTGGTTGGCTTGGGTTTGGTGGTTTTTTTTGGTTTTTTTTTTTTTTTGGTTTAGTATTAAAAAGGGTAAAGGAATGATGCTGTTGTATATTCACTGCATAGTTTTTGCTATTTTTCAGTAATTCAAAATAGGACAAATATAATCTCCTACTCTCATTAAAGCCACACTTGAGAGGAAACCAAGGCTACTTTAGAATGAGCCTTGCCAGCTGGGATGTGACTGCCAGAAACCCATTCCTCTGTGAGCAGAGGAAGTATGTTATATCCATCTGCCTTAGGAAAGAAGGAGTTATATCTCGAGTTTATCATCTGAAAGTCTGGTATTTAGTGGGCTTCTCTGGAAATACTATTCTGAAAATTCTCCCAAAACCAAGCTGCTACTGTATTTTTCTCAACTACTGAGTCTCTCACTAATAAGAAAACCAGGTATCAAAGCAAACACTGGAGAAACATGCGAAGTCGTAAGATAAAATAAGAATTGTTGTCATTTTTAAGCTAGAGCTTAGAAACAGAGCCTTCCCCAAACTGAATACAGACTAGAGAATACTGCTATAATGACTCTTCCAGAATTAATTACTATGTTTACTATAAACAAAGAAATGTAAAATATAACCAAGTAGTTGTTCTTATAAATTTTCTCAAAAACTGGAATTCCTGCATAGTATGTATTTCCCAGCCTTCCAGGACATATTTGGCCACCAAAATTTGGGTTTCTCATATCCACATATTATAGCTGATCAGCCAAGCTGCTATTTTACATTTAACCAGACCTGATTCTGTACTATTTGTAACAACCATCAAATTCAAAAGGGAATCTTAAATCTTATAATATTCAATCAGGGAACATTAAATTCTTATTCAGGGTCTTCAGTGATCTCCAGCTTGTAACAAAGGGGTATTTTGAACCTGTTTTGGAGTACTTGTCTACCATATTAAGCACACTGAGTTTCAGCATTTCTTTGGAATACAGATAGTGGGTTGTGTTCAGACACAAACAGAATCGTAGAATCACTAAGGTTGGAAAAGACCTCCAAGATCATCAAGTCCAGCCTTTGACCAGATACCACCTTGTCAAGTAAACCATAGCACTAAGAGGTAAAGTCAATGCTGCTTACATCTGAGTTCCATAAAATCTCCATTTGAAGGAGAACCTGAACGTTTTGATTTCCAAACAAGAAAAACAGATTTCTATGCGGTTGCTTTCTGCAGAATGGAATTTTTAGTCTGGCCTACTCTCTTCTTCTATGACTTCAAGTTTTTTGCTTCCAGGTTAACCTATTCTGTTCAGCTTTCCTATCTATTCAGTATCATATCTGCTCAATTAGAAGCCCCAATTTTTTTCCCCTCTTGTTATAGTTTTTTTAAACATACGTATACTACTTGAATATTTCTGAATATTCACATGGCAAAACCTGCATAAGCTACCCAAGTGAGATTAATATACCAATTCCTAAAAACCAAACCAAATTAAAAAAAAAAAAAAAAGCCACCAAAAAAACCAACATTCTGGCCTTTATAAACATTTGTGAAGTAGTCCTTCCTCACAGGCTGCCACAAGCCTCCAGAAAAAATGTATGCGTGGAATTTTATCCCCCTGCAGACTGATACATCCTGAGAATTAATTATAGAGCTTTTTAATTGGCCAGGCTGAAATACGAGTATCCTGCAAGCCATGAAATAAGCAAGTGATGCTACGGAAAACATTCAAGTGAATACATATAAATGACAGGTAACTCACAGGAATTTATTCAGGCTAATAGCCTTTATTTTGCTTCTACCCAGGTACTTGGCTTCTTAACTGGACTGCTTTTATCTCAGTGTGGTCTACAGTTAAGCTTGATTAGCTGAGTAAGGAATGAAAGGATATAACTTTTTATCAGAGGAGCAGTATTTAACTTTTTATCAGATGAACACTATCAAGAAACTTCAGGCATGGGAGAATTTATGCCTGGTGATTTTTTTGCAGCCTGCTCATTGCACTTACATCGAATGATAGGCACAGCTGGGTTTGTCCGCCTACTTGGTAGAGGATGAGAGTTTTCCAAACCTGCGTGTCAGCACTTGCTACAAAGGCTGCTCAGTTTGATTCCAAATAAGTCACTTATCCACAAATGTTGTGAAGACACTTCACTGGGGACATTTTCAGGGAGAACCAAAATATATGTATGCTCTGTAACAGGTACACAAGGCAAATGCCTGAGGGATGGGACATTGACTTTCAGTCCCAGATACCTGGTTCCCAAGTATCTACCATAAAGAGGAAGGGAACAACAAAATAAAAGCAAAGCAAAACCTAACCATACTTTCAAATGCAAAAGCACTTTGAAGAAACTTTGTCAGAGAAGGCTCCCCAGCCACCCAGATAAAAAGCTACTGTTTTACTTTAAGAACTGAGTATCTTGCCAAGCCTGGAAAGGCTGTGCTTGTTATCTAGTGCAGAATGAAAAATACTGAAGCCCCAGACAGACCCTGGTATTCTCGAGCCAGTGCTATTAGCTCTCTGTTGTTAGCTCTCTCTTGTGGTGTTACAAACAGCACTTCCAAAAGTACATGCGTAGGTGCTGCTCCTCATTCCACCCAGTCTGAGGACAACAGAGGGTAAAACGAGAAAAGGGCTTTCTTTAAGATATTATTTGGGTGAACTAACTACAACCAATGCTTTAAAAAGCATAAACATATTTTACAGATGATCAAGGAAAAAACAAGTCACCACAAAACCAGACTAGGATCCAAAGTGAAGAAGTTTAGGGGATATCCTCATCATAGTACTTGTAGAGTGGTAACACACTGTAAGTACAGTGTTAAAAATTACTGTAACTCCACAGATATTCTTAGTATTCTAAGGATGCCCAGGAACGTGAAAGTGGAATCCTATACAAGATAAACTGTTAGTAACCCTTAGCCACCAGCAGAAAAGAGCATCCTAGGAGAGGGGAAAAAAAAATCAGACGGTGACAGAGTGATCAAACTGCACCACCACTGAAGTTTTACAGCAAACTAATTAATGATGCCTTCAGGGAAACAGGTGTAAATTAAAAAGACACACTACACATTTCACTTAGATGGTCACATAGGAAGGAATATGATCAGCTGGTTAAAATTTCTCTGGATAAAGTAATGCTGCCTTTATTCAAAACTGATCCAGGTCAGTGCAATACATTTTTGAAACTCAAGGCCAAAGAGCAACTGAAAAGATACTAACTATAGCTAATAAAAACTGGACTACATTGAAAGAACAGAGACTTACTGACTTTCAGCCTCACTGCAGAAATCACATCCTCGCATCACAGTTAAACAAAACCTATGAAAAATGGAAAGGAACACAAACAACTGATATCATTCAAATCCTGGTTTTCTTGATAAACTTTAATCCAACAAACACCCGCTACTAAACAATGCTCATCTAATTTATGTCCTCTGCTCCAGCAAACAGGGATTTACATTAAGTCTTGACCTTGTGACATGTTGGCATGTGTGTGGGGCCAGGAATCTTGACGTCTTCCCAGGCAGCAGGACATGAGACGCCATTTCTCTTGGAGACACAGAGGGACTTTGAGCCTTTAGCTAAGGAAAAAGAGACACAGTGCTTTCAGTTGAAACTGAAAGCACAGTGCTTTTCTGTGTCTTATGCTTTCCTTACAAGGCAGGGGAGGAGGATCTGTTCAGTTTCCCAAATAAGGGATACTGTAGGCTCTGTTGTTGTGCATCACAGCGGTGTCTCCACAGCAGTAAATCATGTCTTACATCACTCATGTCAGGGTACAAGGATACACTAAATGGCTTAGTGTTGCTATCTTATTGTAAAGGTTTTGTACTTTTTCGGCGATTTCTTATGGGCAGCTTTTCACAGCACTGACTCTTTTTTTTTTTTTTTTTTTTAGCACAGCTAACAAACTTTATTTAACTTCTGGATTAGCTAACTTACTCTTTTACAATACTTATCTTAATTGGATTTAGCTGTGGCCTATTAAGGGCAGGCCTGTTTTTAATTCTTGATAGTTAGCACAGCTGTAATTCCTTAGGGGTGATATTACCTTCATCACTATCTCTATTCTCCTACATTCCATCCATCTACAGCTTAGGGGTTCTAAGCCAAATACCTAGCATGTGGTGTAGGGTGTAAGAAACCTGCTGCCTGCTGAGGATGGCCCTGTTACAAATTATTGCTGAACCCACATGATGGCATTGCCCAGGGAACTACTAATATCCATGGGCCAGAATCATGCTAGGACATGTTAACATCCTCAGCCTACTCCAAACATGAACAACCTGGTCTTATAGAGCAGTGTTTCACTGAGTGGCACCGGTCCAGCTTCGGGCCCCAGCACAGACGCAGTATCCCATCTCATCTGCCATGCAATGAAGGGGCTTTAAAACACTGCAAAGCAGCACCTGTGCTTTCTGGCACTCTCTCCTCCTGGTCAGTCTCAGATCTGCTCCAGGGAGTGATCCCAAAGCTCTATTAGATCACCTCCATCTCAAGGTCTCTCCTTCACAATGTTCTTAGTACAAGCTCATTCGTGTTTGGAATGGTTGTTCTAGAATAAAGATACATTTTTATTGTAAGAATTTCACCTTTTTCTTCCGGTCCTTTAAAAAGCAGTATTTAAGAACAAACTTCTTGCACTTTAAATTCCAGGTTGGTCTGAAAATTCAACCAGAAATTTTATCTTCTGAGTTGTTTATAGGATCAATGAAAGCCTCACATACATTCTACAATTAAGACATTATATCTGGGGTGCAGCAAGTGTTCATTTCTCTTTCTTCTCAGTGGAGACTTTTATGTCTCTGGTAGCAGCAGATTCAATAGGTCAAACCCTCTTAATAGTAGATGCTGTAGATCTAAATTCACAATAGACAGGTGTGATACTCCTTGAAACATTTTTATATCATATTATTGCCCTAAAGCAGGTATATCGCCAGGAACTGAATAAATATGTGTTGGTGTTTCTAAATATATCAGTGGAATTTAAAGCCAGACATGGAATTTAGATTTAGTTAAACAACAGTGAAACCACCAATGACCATCAAATTTCTGTGATTTCTGAAGGTTATGGTGTCCCCCCTGTCACCCCCCACCCCCCAGTCTTTTCTGTTCATTATGTTACTACTAATTAAGACTAGAGAATTGAATTTATCCATGACCAGGTTATTACACACTCAGAGACATTACACTGATTGCAACTTCTCCTTAACTCATCATTAGGAAGCACACTCGTGCCAAATTGGAGCACACTTCTTCATCATATTACTGTTTGTCTTAAAAAATACAAAGACGGTGCCGTAACCAGTAGGAAGTGGTTCCCCTGAAGGGACATCACTCTCCATGAGTGGGTTCCTCACCAATGTTTACTTAATCTGCCAAAAATTATCTGAGCATACTACACTTTGTAGACTTCCAGGAAAATGTGAAAGATGAGCGAATTACTTCTGCTGAGACTGCTACTTCCAAGCAAAGAAAGAGCAGCATGTTCTGCTCTGCTTGGATCCTTCCCTCACAATTCTCAGCCTTGGACTGTCCCTTGGCAGTGGGAAAACAGCTCTTTAACTTACATGCAACTGAGGGAACCTTGAAAACTGTAAACATGTTACTATTATTATTTATTATTACTAAGTTGTCCAGTATGACACTCTCATACTCCCAAATGGTATCCCAACAAAGTCTTCTTCTCTGCAGATGATCAGACCTTATTATGGGCTCTAGGAAAACCACGTTTCCACACATTGGTGACTCAGCACTTCAACTCCTCCTGCACAGGATCTTCCTCCAGAACAGCATCATCAGAATCAGAACTATGATGACTACTAAAAGCACCACAATAATCACCAGCCAAAGCAATGATGATACCTCTTCTGTGAAAACAAAACAACAAAACATCCACAGCAAATTAATCTCATTGTGAAAAAAAGCAAAATGAGCCACAAGGATGTCTGATTAATGACAGTGGTTCCTCCAATATGGTCAAAGGTACTGCTAGGGTAAATGAAAGCAGCAATTGCTCAAAAGATAAAATAAACCTGTGTATCTTCAAAAACAAAGCTACTTGTCCACAGAAAATGTGAAGAAAAGATGTGCCTATGGCAAAGAACACTGCCATTCCTATACCTGATACAGTGACTGGCATACATACACAAGCAGAGCTTCATCTTAACACTTAACACTTTCAGAAGTTCTTTTGTTCACCCAGAATTTTATTATTCTTACTTTTAAACACTTAACACTGTTGAAAAGGCAACATCAATTTTAACAAAAAAAGACAGGCTATGTTTTGCTGCCTGCAAATAGCTCTACCCAACAGCTGAGTGTAAATGTTCCTCCCCGGTTAGACATTACCACTTCATTTGACTGCTATTAATCAAAAGGCTCATTTCAATGTTCACTGACATTAGCTGGAAAACTGCATGACTTGAAATTTATTTGACTCAAGCCAAAATGATCATGTCTTTTAACAAAGATATGTTGAACTATTCATTTGAACTTCTTGTCCTCTAAAATATATGATTGTTAAAACAGCCAGCTGTTAGCTGATTTTTTATCCACTTAGCAAGAAATAATAACAGTTATTTAGTTTTCTGGTTTTGAGCTATACATTTGCTTTTTAAAAGACCAAAACAAAAGAATACTGGAGGAAGGACAAAATTATTAGTACGCTTTTTCAGAATTGTAATGTAATTCAGAATTAAGAACTAAATTGCTTTTGAATGTTTAGAGAGCAGATATTAAAAATCAGATCCTGCTCTTTACTACTATTCCTGTAACAATCACTTCTTGAGCATGTAATTTCAGAATCAATCCACAGCTACGAGCTGCTTTTCCTGTCTTGCTAATTTACAAGTGGTCTTCAATTTAAGGCTCTGGATAAAGAGACACATGAATTTTAAAACACTCAAGTCAATGCTCCTGTATGAACTAAAAATGGTTCTTCAGCTTTTAATGTTTCAATTTCTTATCTGCAGAAACAGGGTGAATGTCTTTCCAGCAGAACAGAATGTTGTAAGATATTCAGATGTTACATTAATATATCTAAGATTTCTGTATAAACCAAACATAAGAATCTTCAACTGACCCCCCTCCCTGTATGCCTGAAAGTACTGTTCCTCTCTGACCATTACTGCAGTGGACATATGCCTTGGCAAAAAATCAGAGAAACTAAAACATCATGTACATATTATATACAACAAAACATGCAGTAAGTTGAACTGGAACATTTGATTCAGATACAGTTTGTTATGAATTTCAAAATTTCCGAGTTCATCAAGCAACCCATAGAGTTTATACTCTACTTATGGATATCAGCTGACATATTTATATTTATTTTTAAGCTGTTAAAAAAATTATGAAGGCCTACATGAAAACCTAAGTTCAACTTGCTGCACAATGGTGGATGCTGCATTGTGCCTCTAAACCCCATATCTCCCTAGCTGATTAGTCTGGCTTTTTTCCCCTCTTGGACGGGACTCCAGTATGTTACTACCTCAAAGGCAACAGTGGACACAAATAGGATTTCCTGACATATAAAAATCTCATTCCCTCCTCTTCCCAGAAGATTTCTATCCAAATATGCTATTGCAAAACATGGAAGCCAAGATAATGCTAACAAGTTGCTTGTACTTCTCACCTACCTCCTTTTATTTTCACCGGGATTTCAAATGTTTCATTTGTGTTGCTTACTCTGCAGATCAAATCCTGTGCACTGATGCTCTGAATATTGTAGATTTCCAGTTTACTGGTGATGGACACAATCCCGTTTTTGTGCTTGACTGTCTTCTGTGTAGGAGTAGAATTGAACAGGTTGCTCCAGGTGATGGTGGGCTCTGGGAGGCCATTAGCATTACAGATGACTATCACATGACCTTCAGAAATGTTGTGATGGACAGATACATTGAGACCTTCCAACACACAAATGAGACAAGTCATCACCACAGGGAGCACCTGGTCGGTCGTAAGCAGTAGTAGCAGCCTAACCATTACAAATCAGAGCAAAGCTTACTGGATTCACACTGAGCCCAATGGCAAGGAATGCAAGAAGAGTTCCTTGGGTCAGGTCCCCTCCATGACTCAATACTCCTTCCCCCATACTGAAGCAATATACCCCAAAGATTTCACTCAATCTAAAATCCAAGTATTAAAATAATCTGTAAAGTAAAACAATTTATTGGTCCTATCTCCTAATTCCCTATCAATGGTAGGGTTTGGGAGAGCAGCTCACAGCACTGGGATTGTACCTTGCACCAAAAGGGAACTCCAATGGGCAGTGTTGGTTTGCCCACATTGCAGCTGCAACTGATCAAAGACTTAAAAAGATTCCTCTCCTTGCTTTTCAGCTGCTACTCAAGGAGTAACAAACAACAGCCAAAACAACCACAATAATCTTGAATATGACCCACAGAGTTTTGCTCACAGCAGCAGTGCTCTGTTTCTACACCATGTTCCACCAAGGGATGCTCCTCCCATCACTGCAATTCTTGAATCTGCTCAAGGAAATAATGTGGGTGAGAAAACACCTCTTATTTCACTAGAGACATATCCCTGCAGAGAACCTCACCAAAAACACTCAGGCAGGTATTTCCTGAGACAGGACCAGAAGGGAAAACATTGAAGAGACACTTGTAACATCCTGAATCATCCATTCTAGTGTCCCAAAAAGTTATGCTTGTCTTGTTGAGTTCCAAACTTGTGAAATTCATTCTGTCTTCATAGGGCTTCTGAATCCTTAACCCGTTCGTTTCACTGTACGTAGCTATATTATCATGTAATTCTTCTGAGTCCTTTTGCCATGTCACTTGCAGAACATCCATGGGTTTTGTCAGGGCACAGCTCAGAGTCACACTGTCACCCATCCTCACTATTGTGTGTCCAGCCTGAGGAACCACTGCAATGACAGCAAACAGTTAATGAAATGGGCAGATATCACACACATTCAGAAGCCTAATGTTGATTCTAAGGCCTGGATTACCCACAAACACAACTCCTTCAGTTACATATTGTTTCTGTGGCTTTCCCCTACAAAGAAGTCCATCTCCTGCATGCTCCTAGGAATCAATGAAGTTATGTTGATTTACATTGGCTGAGGCTTTACCTTTCTTCTAAGCTACTTAAAAGACAAAAAGACTTACCAATTTTTGTACCCATATTTGCAGACTTCCCTAAAAGTTTTACTAAATCAGCTCATGACTTCCTATTCTCATCAAATACTCAATTTTTGTTTCCTAAGAGCTAGAGGAAGATTGAATGCATAAGAGAAGTACACACCAAGACATTATCAGAGAAGTAAACAGCAAAATGCCTTTAAAAGGCTTTCTTGTAGTTTTAGAGTTCACAGCACATTTGAGATGGAGGGAAGGAAGTCCTTTTGGGATGCCCCACTCTTGGAAGCTGTCAACTCAGGTTAACAATGGTGTCCAGTGTCACTGTAGATAGGGGATGCTTCTTGTCCTTCCCATCTCTAAATGCTGCTCTAGGAGGATTTGTGTCACAACTACCAGCTGCATGTCTCTGTCTCAGCTATGTAAGAATGTAAGTCAAGCAGCACCAGCAATCTGTATTTCAACTGTGTTTGTCTCTTACTCTGCTGAAGCCTCAGAAACCTGAAACCAGTTCCCCAAACAACTTCAAGCAGGTTTCAGGAAATTCAACTTACCATTTGCCTTTCCAAGCCCAGAATATGCCAAACACAAAACCAGAGCTTGTAAAGTCATTTTGGAAGAGAAAATCTGCTTTGCCTAAAGAAAAACAAGAAGAGATGACAGATCACCTTCTGGTGATATTGTAAATTCAGGGTGCAAAAATTAACAGTAGATTTTTCATGTGAAAAAGAATGTAGTTCTGGGGTCAGACAGCAAGACTTGACAAGTTTTACTGCCCTGTTTCCTACAACTGAATTGTAGACCTGCCTGAAACTGAAGTAGGTGTTATATTCAAGAGGATACATAATTTTGCAACAAATACCTCTGCAACACACTCTACCCACTGCTGAGTTTTTTTGTCAATGCCTGCAAAACTAGCTGAAGCATCTTGTGACCATCTTCTGTCAAGAACTTAAGCAAAGCCCAACCTTTTAAAGATTTTCACAACATTCAAAAAATAAAAGAGACAGTCAACTGAAAAGTATTTTCTATATTATACAGGTTAAAAAAGAAGGCTTAGTAAATAAATCAATAAATAAAAGGAAGAAAAAAGTATTTAAAAACAAATTGCCAACAAACGTGCATACACTCACAACCTGCATTTAAATTTTAAACACACTGTGCTAAAACAGCTCCTGATATAACTCTCCAGTAAGCAAGAACAAATAGAGACCAAGATGTTATATGTAGAATCAGGAAACAAGAACATATCAGCAACAAGCCCAATGAAAAAAAGTTTATGTAGTCAGATATTTGAGCACGGCTATAAGAAATCCAGCTGTTCCCACAAGCATGCAGAAATCAAGGGCCAGCAAGGGCAAGCAGAAGCTCCCGAGTCACAGAGTTGTTTATAAAGCAGGGGAAGATGCACCGCGCCTGCAGGCAAGCAGAGTTTTCAGTAACAACCCTTTGCTTCACTGCTTTAGTACCCATTAAAGCTCATAATGCACCATTGCACGTACCGGGGTAGCTACAAGAATTCACACAATGAGGAACGAGGCTATACCGTGTAGCTATACCGGGCACAGAAAGAAAGTCCCTTTAGGTCACAACTCCAGGCACGGGTGCTGCAGGGAGTGAGGAAACAAATACCAAAACGAACAGAAAAAGAAGAAGAAAAAAGAAAGAAAGAAAAAAAAAAAAAGAAAAAAGAAAAAAGGCGTTAAAGATTGGGGCAAGTAAAGCGCAAATGCTTTACTGCGCCTCCCAAAACCGCACCTCGGCGGGCTCCTGAGCCACAGGCTGTGCCGCTCCCGGGACAAACCGCCCCCCACCACTTTCTGGAAACCGCCCTTAACTTCAAAGAAACTTTCCCCCTACTGCCGTCACCCAGGTTTCGAAAGTCAGCTGCCGAGGTCCTCCCGGGCAGGAAGGGAGGACGGAGGAAGGAGCCGAGAGCCTCGGGCGGTGCCTCCAGGCTTCCGTCCTCCCGGCGGGGTCAGGCTTACCCGCGCCCGGCGCCCACGGCCCATCTCCGCCCGGAACCCTCCTCAGACACCGGAATGCGTCCGGGGAAGGCGCGGCAGGGATGGGTGCTCACGGCCAAGGAAACACGTGGAAACACGGGTATTCATAACAGCCCAGAAACAAATCATTTTAGGCTGTATCTCTTAAATAATTGGGAGTGGTCTTTTGCTTTCGCTGCTACCTTCCTGTTGGGTGGGGAGCAAAAGGGGCAGCAGGAGTGATACTGGACAATCTCTGTGCTGTTTTTGTGTTGTTAGATTAGCATCTTGCACTGATAAAACTACAACAGGGATAACTTATCAGGCTTTGTTGCAGGCTTGACAGAAACAACCCATTTCTATCTGGTTAGTTAGAAACAGCATTTTTAGTGATCAGTACAGGACATTCAGTGCCTGCTCTTTCTTCAGATGTTTCATACACAGGCACGCGTTCATACACTGCTCACACCACTTGCAATATTTATCTTGACAGACACTATTTTAAGTTATCATTGCTCACAGGAAAAATCAAACACCACAATTTCAACCCCTTGCCAGAATTAATTTACAAAGATGCCTACATAAACCCAGAAACTCATTCCTATTTAGGACACAGATGTGTGTGAATATTTGGAGCAATGCTACTGCGAAATACAAAGCTGTGTTTCGTGTCAGGTAAATACAGGCAATGTGTGTATCTGTGATTGTGATATGTGTGGAAACTGACCATGGGACAATTATAAAGACAATTCTAATAAATAACTGAGGAAGTAAAGCATGGAAGAAGGCCTTTGAACCTATCCTTTGTTTGCAATTATCCTTTATAAGTCTTAAGTTGATTTAGGAGCATTCGAATTAAAGCTTTAAGGATGTTGCTGTTTGACAGGAACTTTCTGCTTCTAGCTAAAAAGAGTTTTGCAAGAATAACCTTTTGAAGTATAATTTTAGAATGTTGGTTGTAGTAAGGATCTTTGAAACTATAGCTTTAGAATATATTAAAAGGAAACATACTTATCTTGACACCTTAACAAAATATTGAAAAGCAGCTTGAGAAAGGAAGGTGAACATCAACTCAAGGATTGATAGTTTCAACCAAGGGAAGCTGGACATCACTGCTATGAGATTTATAATCCTCGCAATTAAAAGGTGAACCCGCAGTGGAATCTGGACCTCACCAGCTGGGAGACTTTTTTCTTCTTTCGGAAGCTGGACCCCACCATCTGGGGATACTCTTTTCTGAGATAAATCCTGAGAAAAACTAAATCACAATAGTGTGTAGAATTGTGATGTAAAAATTGGGAATAGAAACTGCTGAGAAAGCTTACGAGTACCCCTATAAATACCTGTAAGCCCCAACTATCGGTGTGCAGTTGGAGGGAAAACTTCCCCTACTGTACCCAGCGCTGTATTGCTCATACTTTACCATATTAATTAACAAATTGATTGCTGCTTGAATATTGGCCTAGTCAAGCTTCCCATTTATAACACTACTATACTGTCTTAAGGAAGAAGGTGATGTTTGCATCTTTCCCAGGTCACCCCGGGCCCACCATGTGTTAACCTCGCCTGTCCTGCTGCTCTCAGTACCCTGGTGCACAAAGGAGAGCCTTTTGACCTGTAGAAATAGAAAGCTTCTGCTGTCCCCACCAGATTTGGCCCAGCTTGTGGCTGGGGTCTGGAGATCAGGGCAGTGTCTCTTCCAGGTGGGTAGAGCTGTACTTGGAGACACCTTCCCCACCACTGTGCTGGATTTAGTGCTGCTGCCTTTTCCCTCTGCCAGCTAACTAACCAAAGCCCCTTGGCTTTTCAACAAAATTTCAACTTGACCACTACCTTTATTTCTACCTTTCTTTTTATCTCTTAGGATAAATCACTATGTCTTAAATCACTTAAATTTCACTCCACCAGCCTTGCCCTTTTTGTTCCTTCTAAAACAGGCCAGCAACTAACCCACCAGTTGTTTGAGACTGATGTAATAACACTTCACACTCTTTTTGTTTTAATGACAAAAATGTCTTAGCAAGTTTCCTGTGCTCACGTGCCTTCACTATAGCTGAGGGGATTTTAGAGGGAAGTCCAGATAACTGCCCACTGCACAGATTAAAATAAATTTATCCAGCAGTGCCCTGTGCCATCAAAGCAACAAAAGGAGGGAAATCCCAGTGATATCTTCCTGCTCTTATTTCATGAAAATAAAGGGAACTTTGGAGGGATTTGAGTGATATATTACAGTAACTCACATCTACTGAGGTAGAAAATTGCCTGTATTTACGCAAATGTTATTACTTGTTCAGTGGGCTGGAGCAGCCTAGAGAAGAAAGAAGAAAATGATGAAAGGGTCTGGAAATCAAGAGGGCTGCTCCTTTGGAAGAGAGGGAATAAATTAGAGCTGAGCAGGGAAAGGATGATCCTGAAATAGTAGGCAAAGACCAGAGGTAACCTCAGGGCAGACAGAGGGAAATGAAAATACTCCAGCCAAACCAGCAATAGTGGAAGATTCAAATTATTTTTATATTTAGAGGAGAAAAAGGCACAAAAATCCCCTTCTGCCTTATTCTATGTTTGAATGTCAACTGTTTCTTTTTACAGGAACCTGGCTCACTCAACAATCTTTACCAAGCTTTACAAGGTTCTTTGTACGTTATGTTTTCTGGAGCTGGTGGTAGCCAAGGTGACGTGGACTCTCTGGTATTATAAATCCTTTGAAGTCACTGAGAAAGAGAGTAAGTAGAGAGCTCTTGTCCAAAAATTCAGAGAGGTCTTTGTTCATTTTTTAAAATTTATTTAACTGTAATACACCCTGTATGCTGGTGGAAGAAGCAATTTAAAATTCCTTCTGTCGCGAATGAGATTTATTCTTCATTCTTTCCTCTGCCTTCTGTGTGGACACATTTCACTGTTAATATATTTCTTCATTCTTCCCTTGATTTCTGGACTACTGACTTCTTATAAGCAGAGCCATGTGAACCACTAGCCAGCAAAAGCTGTACAGGCTTAAGGCAAATATATGATACAGCTGATCCAAGTTGTCATTACTTAACAGCAGAAAGGAAAAAAAAAAAAAAGGGCGAATGAAGTCAGTGACATAGATTCCAGTAAAACCAAACACAGGAGGTTGTACAGGATGTCTTCCAGAGGTTTATATTAGAACAACTGTTCTGCTGATTGAACTCCCTTCTGGCTCTGCTCACATCAATTAGCATATCCCTCTTAATCATCATGCTCAGGCAGTGCATCTTCAGGTTGCAAATGCTTATATGGATCTACTAGAAGGTCTAACCTGCTTCAGAGGATCTGCCACCAGCTGTCATTTTGCTGGTGATTCGACCACTTGATCACAGTCAAACCACATCTCTGTCTCTCAAGCTTACTTCTGTAAAACAAGGAAAGGTTAAATTGTTTAATTTAACCTTTAAAGGTTAAACGGTTAAAAGTTTGAGATCCTGCCAATTTCTCCAGTGCAAACTGCACAAGATTTCTCAGTAGGGAGAGTTAGACGTAGGTGGGGATAAAAGCACAAAAAATTTCTGGAGTCCATTTCAGTGTCAATTGTCCATGTATAAAGGGAGACTGGATTGAGGAAGAGGAGCACAAAGGGGAGACAAAGGCATGGAGTGGGTGTGGAATTGGAAAATTGGAAGAAGAAGAATGTGACCGTGGTAGTGAAAGTTTTAGTCCATAACAGGGCAGACGGGTGGGTGGCGGGAGAGCACACAGGTAGTGCAGTCCCTGCTGCAGCAGGTGGTAGGAGCTGAGGAATGCATAATTGTTAAGGTGTTGTATGTAGATTTGTTTTATGCGGGCACACACACACACACACACACACACAGAGTGTTACCTGTTATTAAGGGGTCCTTAAGTGATTTTATCTTTAGAGAAAAATGAAGAAAAAAACCTAGCAATACTGCTGGGCTTGTAGTATTGTGAAACGCTGTTTCCAATACAATGTGTTTTTTATAATGCTGCTGCTGTATAAAGTAGGGTTGTGGAAGAGAAGGGCCATGAGGGCCCATTACAGGGGGCCTCAAGGGGACAAGAGGGACTGAGAGAGTAGATAAGGTTGCAGCTGGGGACTTTCCTCTAGCTGCAGGCAGAATAGGCATAAATGATGAAGTTGATGGAAGGGTAGAAGAAAGGATTTTGGGTTTGGAAACTGATGAAGGGTTTAGTCCCATAGCACAAACTTGTAGGAAAGACCCAGAGAAAGTTGTGTAGCTATGTGATGATTGGATATGTTATTCCTAGGGATCTGAGTAAGTTGTTAGAAGCAGCATGGAACACATACAATAATTAGGAGCGAAAGCTGTGTTAGCAGAACAAAGCCCAATTGGGGGGGGGGGGGGGGGGGGTGGCATCATGGGAGAGAGACAGAGAAGGAATTGCAGGCACAGTTGTACCTGTTAGTTGTACCTCCCCCTGTTAGAAGACGTGTGATGGGGACTGGAGGTGTCATCCCCAGCTAAACCTGTGGGGATTACATTAATGCAGGGAATGACAAATGGAATTTCTTAGTAGATACTGGAGTGGTGTATTCAGTCTTAAATACGCCTAAAGGAAAATTTAGTCCGAAACAATTCATGTTGGTGTGACAGAGCAAAAAGAAAATTGGCCTTTCTTTCAGCATTAAAATTTGGAATTGGTAAATTGGTGTTAGCATATCAATTTCCTTATACACCTGAATGTCCCATACCAATAGTAGGAAGAGATGTGTTGACTAAATTAAATGCACAAATTATGTTTGAAAAAGAAAACATTCAAGTTTCTGGCCGCAGGCTCCTCTGTTACCATGCACTGGTTGGGTTTGTCCTGAGGCTGAGGGATTGGTGCAGCACTGCAGAGGCCTGTGCCAGCTCAGGTGAGCTGTTCTGTGGAAA